TGTGGAGTTTCTATTTATAAGTTTCCAATGGTTGTGATTAATGGACACAACCCTTAGGGAATTAAACAAGTGAAGAGATGTGGCTACACCTCTTCATATTGTCACACCTATTTGATCAAATAGGTGCCTAAAAGTAATTTTCATTCAAAATATAATTTTATTTTATTAAATAAAATTCCCAACAATCCCCCACGTGAATGAAATTAACGAAAAACGATGGATTCTATCGAGAGTTCAAGTGGAAACTATTGCAATGGGGATAGATAGATTTTGGATTTGAACCTTCCTTAGTGGTATACCATCGGATTTACTTGGCTAGTTATGAACGCGATGTCTTGAACTGCCAGCCGTTTGTGTAAACCAAGACAATGATATCCCACACAATAATTTTCCCACATTTCATCAGTTCTCATGGTTGCGTCCATTTTGGCCCCGGATCACATCTTGGATTCATAAGTGTTTGTCTTTTTGAAGCGGCCCACACTTCTACACTTAGATAGTAATGTCCTATTAAAGGTATCATGCCAATACCTCACATTTCGTCAAGGTTTTGGAATCATTAAAATCTTTCGCTTATCCTTTACCCTCTCTGCAGGCAGCACTAATGTCTATCACGGGAATGAGTTGGAAATATATAATTCCATAGGAATAAATACTCCTTAGTGCAGCACTGAATTTTCCATAACTTAGTTGTCCCTTTTGAACCAGTTCTTGGGATCTCCAGTCATCATGGTTGGGTTTCCACTATAGAAATTCTTAATTTGTGGGTTTTGATCTCACTCCCCTAGATAAGCAATATGTTTGATCTCTTTAGTTGACTTTTAGTCGCGGATCCGCTATTAACCATGTATTTTCATAATCAATGTTGTATTATTCATTTTGAGATCAATTTTCTAATGGTCTTATGTGTACGAGTGTGTCGATACTTGCCATTATACATGTCGTTTGTGCCCTTAACGTAACTGATTGGTTATCACAATTTATTCATAATTGTAGACACCGACTTAGTCCAACACGGAATATCCTCCAATAATTTTATGAAGTTTATTCAACTTCTTTTCTAACCTTATCTCAAGTTATATATCCGAATTCGACCATGAATCGAGCTATTCAATTTTGTTTGAGGATTTCCAAGATACATAATTTTAGTGGACTCATATATCCAATGTACTTTCCTAATACAATTGGATATTTTCTTTAATGTAATCCATTTAAAGGCGATACTTAGATTACCTAAGAACCCTTATAATATCATTGAATGATTATTTATTTTGGAATTACATATTTACTAGTTTGCAATTTTATTATGCAGCCAAACTATCCAAAAACATTTGTAATTGAACCATTGTTCATCATTATTTTTTGCAAGGTAAAGACTTGGTCTTTAGATAACTAGATTAATTTTCTAGTAATGTATCAACATGAGACTTTCAATAAGACTGTCTTTGTCTTAGTGACTTTAATCTATAAGATTACATCGTCTAGACCCTCGTCTTTTGACATCAAACGTAATTTTATTTTTATTTTCAATATTTTCTCAACGTTCAAAATAATATCATGATCATTATCTCATGATTATAATGTCGTCTATAGACATATACTTCCATGTGATTTTAATATAAACACATTGGTCACACTCGTTATTACGAGAATTATTTGATAACACAATTTTATCAAATATTACTTTAGAAGGACTTAACGGATTCCAATATCTTGTTATAAATAATCAAGATTTTTCCATAGCTGTTTAATTTAGCTTTATAGGACCACCATTTTAATTCTTCTTTTGAATAGTCCATTTAAACATTAATGGTTTACTACTTGGAAGAAGACTAACTAACTTCCACATACATTTTTCCAATGCAGACAATATTTCATTAATTGTCTTTTGTTCATTTTATAACTCATAAGTTATAAAATCAAATCAAAATCAAACGTATTGATTTTCTTTGCCATCTTGTTGTATCTTGGTTGTTCATCACTTTGATGATTTTCCACTCACACATATTTTAACTTGGTTGTTCATCACTTTGATGATTTACCACTCACACATTTATAAGTTCTTTTACTATGAACTTATTTATTTTCTTATTTTACACGAAACCACAATATAATCATCAATTTGCATCAAGAGTGACTATCTCGTGCACAATCATTATAAATATATTCAATATTTATTCACTTGACTATACTAGGCCTTATACTAACTTAGGTATTTTTTTTTTACCTTGGCCTAAACACTCCCCCACATTTCTAAATATATATGTGGTTAGCTCGGAATATTTAATTTATGTGGTTAGGGCCTAAAGATCCCCACATTTCTAAATATTAACGTGGTAGCTCGGGATATCTAATTCCCCCCACAAATTCTAGAGTATGTATTCTAGAATTTATCAATATAATATCCATAAACTTTTTCCAAAAGTTTTAGTTCTCATTTTTTAATTCATTTGTCAAAGTTCGCATTTTCCAACTTTCATTCACATAGCATTTAAATGCTTTGAAATCCTTATTTTTATTTTATTAATAAGGATACACAATGTAACAAAATACATTTCTTCTTTAGTATTGTATTTCTTTCTCTCAAGAAAGCACAAAAAGAAAAATCTTCCCAAGATACTTAAATCTTGTAAACAATTAAGATAATAAGATTTATTCATTTTCCTCAAAAGAGAAAACTCGACAAGATACTTAAATCTTGTCAATGAACAAGAGAATATTAATCTCTCCAAATGGTGGTTGATCTCCACAATTCAATATTAAAGTTAGAATATACAAATTCTAATCTTAATCGTTCATAATTTAGGATTGTATGTCCTAAACATGCCGTTCAAAATTCAGCCAAATCCAACGATTTAATTCTACAAAACGAGCTCTTAACTGCTCGAATTTTCTTTCAACAAAACATCCATTGTTGTTTACAACTATTTCGGATCTTTGAAAATCAAAATCCGATCTCATCCATTCACATTGTAGATCATCATCTTACAAATGTGATATCAAATCATATCGAACCAACGATTCGATCTTCTTTTATGTTCTTGAGACAAGAACTACTCATGTGCTCTCATGAATTGAGCTTCTCTTTCTTTATATTTCATTTCAATCATGCTTTTAATTGTACTGTAGTATGATTCATATATAAAACATATGTACATCAATACTATAATAAACATAATATGTGACCGCAACTTTCATACTAGTTGATCATAGAAATAAACAATACTAGTTGATCATAGACATATACATAGTATACACACATGAGTACATAATAACATCGTGTTTGGTTATTATTTCACGGCATAAATTAATTCATGTCCATCATAGTTGATTTATATAAATATATAGCACGTAATCAATATGTGTCCAAGCAATTACAAAATTCTAATGAATTGGTATGGCTTACGGAAATAATAATATGTATAATAATATTCATCTTACTAAGTAACTCATACTTAATATACGAGACAAGTCTAATCGTTCATAGACAATAACAAAAACGTCTAATCGTTCATAGACAAT